GGGTGGGGGAGGTGGTGTGGTGGGTGGTCAAGAACACACCTAAAAAAACCTCTCCCCACCTTCCAAAGTGTAGAACCACCTTTTACATCCCCAGTCCGGCCGGCTCCCCATTTTAAAGGCAGCATGTCTGATAGTGTGGTACTCCTTATAGAGGGCCTGAAGTAGAGGCTACAGATTGGATACACCAGTGTCTGGCTCAAAAAACAAACCACCTTAACTTAAAGGTGAGCACCTTCAAGTGTCACTGCATTCTGAGGTTCTACCTGTCCCTGGTGTTAGGAAGGATGGCCTGGTTTCTAACTATGGAACACTCCAAGTAGTTAGACCTTCATTGAGAAATTTGCAAAGAGAAACACCTTTGACCACAGGTCCATCAGGATGTGATCAGCGCACAGACCCTGAGGGAAAAGGAGAGGGTGGATCCCCGAGCGGACGGTCAAAGTCATTTGGCAGAATGCCCCATCACCAGAACTTTTCAACAAGCACCAAGACATCGCTTTGCTGGTGGTGAGAAGGGCACTACCCACGAGACCCTTCATGTACGCCCAGTCTCTGTGCAGGATGGCACGTAGACACTGTCCCACATCTCCTGCTGGAATGTGCCTTCGCCAAGAAGATCTGGAGAAAAGGTGGAGTGGTTTTTGTCAAGGTTCATCCCGAGCAGCTCCATGACACAGGACTCTGTGCTCCAGGGTCTGGGGGACGCACCGAGACAAACATCGACTGCATCTGGAGGACCATCAACTGGTGAAAGATGCTCTTTGGTTTTGCCTGATCCTTGTTGGTCTTCCAGAACAAGGAGTTGACCCTGACTGAGTGTTGCAGCCTGGTACATTCCTAGGCCCAGGAGTACGTGATGAGGGATGCACTAAAGCTTGGGGCAGCTACCGCCAAGGGACAGTAGGGATAGACCACCGTCTGACACTTTCCTGCCAAAGTATAATGAGGGTCCGTTTAGCTGTCGGACCCTCTTGATGCCCCAAAATGAAAATAAAGGGTGTCCTTTGGTTTCTGCAACTGCACGGCATGTCAAATTCCAATTTTTTTTTTAACCTGCAAAAACTGTGCAAAACTACTTTGGTACCTGTGTATGTGCATAATGGTAATTTTTTAATGAATAAGCATATTTTTACAATAAAATTAAAACAAAGTATTTAATGTCATTAACCACAGTTGCGGATGCTCTGATGACACTGTCCTGGAATGTTAACTCTGTCTTTCTCTCTCTCCCAGGATACTGGCCTGACCCACTCAGTATTTCCAGCATTCCCTGAACTTGTGAACAGTTTTGAAAGTTTACACTTTCGGTCACACCATAATCAAGTAAGAAATAAATAAGTGAGGCTACGTGCCAGTGGTGATCTGGTATATTGTCCACGCAGCGACTTTGTCATGCTTCACATATTGCTGATTCTGACCATGTGTTACAAAAGCAGTGATTTACTCTCCATTTTACTTGTTCTCCTCTAAACCCTATCGGGTTAACCTCCGATCTGAGCTCAGCACCTCCACCGGCCAGAAGCAGACCCTTCAGCCCGACCAGTCCATGCCAACTAAAACTAGTCCCACCTGCCTGCGCTTGGCCCATATCCCTCCAAACCTTACTTATTCACGTAGTTATCCAAATGTCTTTTCAGACGTCTAAGTCTAGCTATATTCCACGCACGGACCACGCACTGTTTACAAAAAAAAGGCCCCTCACGTGTTTTTTAAATCTTTCTCCTCTCACCTTAAAAATATGCCCCGTAGTTTTGAACTCCACTTCCTGGGGAAAAGACACCTGCCATTCACCCTATCAATGCCCCTCATGATTTTATAAACCTCCATAAGGTCACCCCTCAACCTCCTTCACTCCAGTGAAAAAAGCCCCAGCCTATCCACCCTCTCCTTATAATTCAAATCCTCCATACCCGGCACATCCTGGTAAATCTCTTCTGAACTCTCCCCAGATTAATAATGTCCTTCCTATAAGAGGGGGACCAGGACTGCACACAGTGCTCCAGAAAAGGCCTCACCTACATCCTGTACAACCTCAACATGATGTCCCAACTCCTACACTCAAAGGTCTGAGCAATGAAGGCAAGCATGTTTTTTTTGAAGGGGTGAGGCAATAGCCTAGTGGTATTATCCCCGGACTGTTAATCCAGAGACCCGGATAATATTTCGGGGATGTGGGTTCGAATCCAACCATGGCAGATGGTGGAATTTTAATTCAATAAAAATATCTGGAATTAAGAACCTAATGTTGACCATGAATCCATTGTCAATTGTTGGGAAAAACCCATCTGGTTCACTAATGTCCTTTAGGGAAGGAAACTGCCATCCTTACCTGGTCTGACCTACATGTGACTCCAGACCCACAGCAATATGGTTGACTCTGAACTGCCCTCTGGGCAATTAGGGATGGGCAATAAATGCTGCCCAATCAGCGATGTCCACATTCCGTTAATGAATAAAGGAAAAATGAAATGCGAAAAGTCTTCTTAACCATTCTGTCTATGTGACGCATATTTTGTTTATGTTAGTCATTTCTCTGTTTTCAAATAAAGTAAAATTACAACCTCAGAATGGCGTTTGGTTTGATTGCACACTGGTGTTTTAATCAGAGGTACCACTGTGAGACGGATTTTCATTTACCTGTAGTCTTCATGTGTGAGGATTGATCTTCGAATGATGGAATAAGCATGTCGACTGGAGATGCATTTGCAAGAAGTGTGGTTTGCAATTCTGACAGTCAATAGCTCTGGTATATTGGTCAGAGGAATGGCAATCTCGAAGAGCTGGAAATACAAGTGAAATGTTAGTGATAAAGTTTCAATACTCATTCCTCATTTTAATGGAATTACTTGGAGTGAAGGAGATTGTGCTTCTGAAGTACCTCCCCTTATTTATCACATGGAGTTTGGTTATGTGATATTTACAACAGCATTCTCTCTCAGCTATTTTAGTAAAAGGATTACGTTTGAAGGCAGATAAATGCAGTATGGATGCGATAACGCGATGGTGATGGATATCACAATATAACTTGGTGCAGTGGTAGCGTCCCTACTCCTGGACTGAGAGGCACGGCTTATAGTCCCACCCACTCCAGAAGTGCGCGATACCATCTCTGAGCAGGTTGATTAAAATCAGTAGTTATGTGCAGGAGACTATGATGAAGGGATGGAATCCGAGTGCGAGAGGTACTTATGGAGACCAGGATTATAATAAATATTGTCAATAAAGGAGTTGGCAGCAACTCTGAGATCCATGCAGCCACCACTGACAGGATTTTGCTGCCACTGTTTTCTTTCACTGTAATCATCTACAGGAGCTGATTAATCTAGCATAATAGAGACAAAAAAAAAGTAATCACAGAGAAGACTGGAAAAAAACTCAGCAGGTCTGGCAGCATCTGTGCAGAGAGAAACAGGGTTAATGTTTCAAGTCCAGTATGACTCTTCTTCAGAACCCAAAATATGTCAGAAAATGATTATTTTTTAATCTACTTCTGAAAGAAGCAGAAGAAGAGCAAAGGGAACAGATGATATAGAGGCCCAGTGCAAAAGAGAGAAAAATCACTTATTGATGTAACCAGAAGAGGCTCTTGTATTGATCAAGATGTAGTTTATTGCATGTTAGCAGTTAAGGACAGGTTACTCTGATGCGCTTGTTACAGAGACAATGAAGAGGACCTGGATGTTAGGTCTTACTCCCTCAAAATCCAAAACTGTTCTGCTCACAAGTCCACATGATATCACCAAAACAGATGATGTCTCAGGCCCTTCTCAGTATTAGGGCTTGCTAATCCTTACAGCCTTTTACAATAGAAACCATTGCAGGCCACATGAGGAGACAAGGGTAGCCTCATCTCTCCAATGTGCAAAACAGAACCTCAAGCTATAAGACCTTTAGCAACATAAAGCAGTGAGCATGTGTCACTTTATATATTTACACAGGGCAATACAGGTATTTCTGCTATAACGTGTGTTTCATTAACGCAAATTGGTTGTAACGTGATGATGAATAATGGACACTGTTTGAATAATGCCAACTTTCTGCTGTACAGGTATAGCGCCCTTCTATAGTGATTTCTCCTTAACATGATTTCCTAAGGTGCAAGGTCACACAAGAACGCAACTATCGCGTTATAGGAGAAATACCTGTATTTGTTCTTGGTGATAGGGATCTTACCTACGGCTGGTAAACCACATAGGGCCCTGCATTGCCTCCTTTTCAGAAGGCCAGTCACACAAACTATTGATCAGGCAGTTAACTGGACAGTAGCGGGCCTTGCCCAAGACCCAGAGCCTTGGTTACAAGTCCCACCTGCCACGAGAAGCTGGTCAATTAGAAGCTGGCTGCTCCTTGTTGCTGGGTAACACCAGCCAGAAGTCAGTTGTATATCTGAGACCCTGGGCCACCAAGGGACCCAGGCCATAGGTGGGGGTGGAGGCTGGGGTCAGCAGCAAGAGTCAAGGTTGACTCTCAGCAAACACCTTACCCACCTTTTCCAGGTGGCTAGCTCCCTCAGTTGGGCACAGGGTGCCTTTGAACAAGCAAGGCCCCTGCCCAACAGGGTTTGCCTCTTGAGCTTCTCACCTGGATAGCCTGGTACCTACTGCCACCAAACCTGGAAAAAGGGAATGGCATTAAACCCACCAACAGTCATTATTATAACGGATTGTCTGATGCCAAACTAAAGGCTACCACCCTAGGATTTAACTGCAGATGAACAAGTTGATATATCTGTCTCTTGTTCAGTTGGTCAGCTCATTTTACGGTCTGTAAGAATATATGGCAGGTGAAAATGGACATCGATGGAGCTGACAGTGCAGGCTTACTGGGTCCTCTGTATTTTCCCTTCCAAATGGAGTCTGCAGGCTTTGCTAGATTTCTGCTAGCATGGCAGGATAAAAATACAGGTTCTGGCTCTTTAATGTCCCTGCACTACTCTACAACAAGAGTCCCAACATCAGATGCAATGGATTTGATTCTGGATACCAGGGCCTCGGTCATTTAGGAACATATCAGCCCCTCAGGTGCAGTTTCACCATCCAACTAGAACATCGTTGATCTACCTCAAATCCTTCCAACACTATCCTCCTAAACCTGATATCTTTAAAATCTCGATATCTATTGAACTCTGTCTTGAACCTATTCAAAGATTGAGTATCCACAGCCCTCTGGGCTAGAGAATTCCAAAGATTTACCACCTTCTGAGTGAAGACATTCCTCTTCATCTTACTTCTTCACGGTTGACCTCATAATTGAAGATTTGTCTTTTGGTTTAGAGGACCGGTCCCGTGGGGGAGGGAAGGATTTGCTATTGATCCTGCCTTGCTCAACAAGAATTTTTTATGCTGCAGCGTGGCACCTGTGACTATGGAGAATATAGGCCTGGTTGAGGTCAGTATCTACATTCCAATAGACACAATCAATAGAGGAGCCCACCCTGAATGAAGTGAGTAAGAATAGGGTGGCATCTTCCTGCTTTGAAGGAACAGAGAAAAGGTATTTGATTTTCCCTGAAGAGGCAAATGGTCAGGTATTGAAAGGACAACTTGGAACCTTCATATGATCCAGTGCCCAATGAGCTGGTGTAGATCTTGCTGGGTCCATGGAGGACATTACACAGATTACCTTCCCTGAAGGAGATTAGTGAACCATATGGGTTATTTGACAATCATTTGATCTCTCAATGGTACTATACTGAAACTAGTTTTCAATTTCAGATTTATTCATCAAATTGAAGTTCCACCATTGTAGGATTTGAACCCTTGTCCCCAGTGCATTAACTTGGGCCTCTGGATCATGAATTGAACCACATAATTACTACAACATGACCTCTCCTGTTATGTCTGATGATAACAGCCCTGAATGACTCAGTGTTAATGTTAAGGTTTAACCTCCTTGTTTTTAGACTCATCTACTAGAAAAAAAAATGGTTTAGCTAACTAATAAAAGTGTTTAAATATCTGAAACACATCAATTAGATCACCTCTGAATCTTCTACGCTCAAGAAAGTTCCATCTTATTCCATGCAACTTGTCTTCATAATTAATGCCCAATATCAGGGAAGGAAATCTTATCTGGCTTGGCCTATATGTTCCTCCAGACCCCCCAACAACATGGGTGACTCACCTCTGAAATGGCAGAACAAGTTAAAGAGCAACTAGGAATTGGCAATAAATCCTGGTATTGCCTGTGATGCCCACATCCCAAGACTGAATATAAAAACACCCTTAATCTCTGTCTCCCAATCTCAACCATTTGCTTCCAATTCCATATGTTCTCATGTTTGTTGATGCTTTCTTCTGTGCAAACATGTGAAATATGTTTGCCAAGACCATAGAAATAACATCTATTGCCGCTACCTTATCCATCATGTAAGAGATCTCAACTAGTTTTGTTAGACATGACTCATCTGTTATAAATCCACCCTGTTTTTTTCTGATTTGACCTCCCCCCTACCCAGTGCTTGGCCACTCAAACCCCACCCCCAAAACAGATTTGAGGAACATTCCCCACACGTGAGACTAATGGAGCTATAATTTCCTTGCTTCTCTCTCTAGCACATCTTGTACGTTGGATTAACATTGACTGTTTTCCAATCCAGAGGGTCAGTTCCTTAATGAAAATGACTGAAACATCATCAGCTTCATCTCTTAATACCCAGGTGCGGAAACCATAAATCCTGAAGGTTTATCCATCTTCAGTCTAATTATATTTTCTATTACTATGTGTTTTTTTTAACTGATGTTTAATCAGATAAGTTCTTCCCTTTGATTTACTCTAATTTATCCTTTAACCTTGGATAATTCTGTTTATCTTTTAATTTATCTATCCTGGGACTTGATCCTCATCCACTGTTGTGAAGACTTTAGCAAAGTAAGTCTTTCGTAAGTTTTCCATTTCCTGATTTCCGGTTACAATACAATCACGAAGCAAATGAAACCACTTCTTGATACTCAAGAAGCCTCTTCGACCATTGAGTCGGGAGATTGAGGAGGAGTCGCCATCTTGACTGGGCTCATTGCAGAATGGTGCCGTTTTCTGTAGCACCTTTCTCTGGGTCCACATTGTTGGATGATTCACACATTAATAAGAGTGAGGGCCATTAAACTTGCCATTAATTTGGCTTCCAAGTTCCTCCTACGATGGGAAGTGTTCTAAATGTATCATTTACTAAATGTAAGTAAATCCCATACACTTCTGAACCAATCACACTTATCCACAATTCCTCCTGAGAGACAATTCAGTGCTTTCAACCTACTCAAGATCTCCCACAATTGAGGCAAATGCCTCAATTCACATCCTCGCATTCTTATTCACAGGTCAAGTTAATAAGAGAAAGAAAAGTTACACATTTCCCAGTAATGTGGACACGCTTACTTATTCAATGCCATTATTTTCCTGTGTTCGTGGAGTAAAAAGTTTCAACCTATAGCATGAATGGATAATCAGGCTAAAGGGTTTTAATTATCTGGTGTTAAATAAATATGTATGAAGTCTCAATGGAGAACCCTACAGCTGAGTTCCTTTTACTGTCTGTTTACCTCCTCCCTCCCCAGTATCCGAGGGCCCAAACACACCTTTCAGGTGAAGTAGTACTTTACCTGCACTTCACTCAATCTTACTTACTGTTTTCGCTGCTGACAATGTGTTCTCCTCTACACTGGGGAAACAGCGCGTAGACTGGGTGACTGCTTCGCACAACACCTACATCCTGTCTGCAAGAAGGACCCTGAGCTTCCAGTTGCCTGCCACTTTAACACACCACCCTGTTCTGTGGCCGACATCTCTGTCTCTGGCTTGCTGCAGTGTTCCAGTGAAGCTCAACGCAAGCTGGAAGAACAACACCTCATTTTCCACTTGGGAATGCCATCATCTTCTGGACTCAATATCAAGTTTGACAACTCTAGGGCTTCAGAAAGCTTCTCCCATGTCCTTACCCCAGCTCCCACACACCAGGTCTTGCTATGACATACCACCCATTGTTAACCACTAATAGTCCCCATTAACAGCCATTCATTCCCCTAGGCTGATCGTTATCCACTCCTTTATCTGTCCATCTGATCTTCTCTCTCTTTGGGCTCTATCCCCAACTATCGTTTACTCCTTACTCCCTCCTCCCACCCTATCTTCTGTATTAAAAAAAACAAGTTTTCCCTAGCTACCATTAGTTCTGAGGAAGAGTTACCGGACCCGAAACGTTAACTCTGATTTTCTTTCCACAGATGCTGCCGGACCTGCTGAGCTTTTTCCAGCAATTTCTGTTTCTGTTCCTTCAGCGTTACTGGGTCAAAATCCTGGAATTCCCTTCCTAAGGGCATTGTAGGTCTACCTATACCTGGTGGGCAGCAACAGTTCAGGAAGGCAGCTCATGACCACCTTCTCAAGGGGCAACTAGGGACGGGCAGTAAATGCTGGGCCCAGCCAGCAATGCCCACGTCAATAAAAAGTCCCATTCCGAGACTTGGTGGCCCAAGCATAAGCTCATAACCAACAAGCGGGCAGTAAGGATAGAAAAGGTTACTGGTCAGCCATGTGATGGGAAGAAGTTGAAGGCCCAGCATCACTATCCAGACTACAACATGCAGGTAAAGGGGTCACGCCAACTCAGAGACCCTTGGGAGACCAGTTGGCTGGTGTGGTGCCAACAGTGTGGGGGTTGGGGGTTCAATTCTTGTTCTGGCTGGTGTGGAAAAAGGACCTACCTGTGGTACAGATCGTGGTATTATCAGGCAAAGGGTTGAAGAAAAACATCTCATTAGTTCATGGATTAAAAATAGATGGAGTTGAATTTAGATAAACGTGAGGTGTTGCATTGTGGTAAGGCAAACCAGGGCAGGACTTACACAGTTAAGGGTAGGGCCCTAGGGAGTGTTGTCGAACAAAGAGACCTAGGGGTGCAGTGCATAGTTCCTTGAAAGTGGAGTTGCAGGTAGACAGGGTGGTGAAGAAGGCATTTGGCACACTTGCCTTCAATGGTCAGGACACTGAGACACATAGGAGTTCGGAGGTCATGTTACGGCTATACAGGACATTGGTGAGGCCACTTTTAGGATACTGCGTACAATTCTGGCCTCTCTCTTATAGGAAATATGTTACTAAGCTTGACAGAGTGTAGAAGAAAATTACAAGGATGTTGCCAGGGTTGGAGGGTTTGAGCTACAGGGAGAGGCTGAATAAGCTGGGACTATTTTCCCTGGAGCGTCAGAGGCTGAGGGGTGACTTTATAGAGGTTTATAAAATCATGAGGGGCACGGATGGGGTGAATAGACAAAGTCTTTTCCCCTGGGTGGGGGTGTCCAAAACTAGAGGACATAGGTTTAAGGTGAGAGGGGAAAAAATATAAAAGGGATTCAAGGGGCAACTTTTTCACGCAGAGGGTGGTGCGTGTCTGGAACGAGCTGCCAGAGGAAGTGGTGGAGGCCAGTACAATTACAACATTTAAAAGGAGTATCTGAATAGGAAGGGTTTAGCGGGATATGGACCAAATGCTGGCAAATGGGACTAGGTCAGATTGGGATGTCTGGTTGGTGCAGACGAGTTGGACCAAAGGGTCTGTTTCTGCGCCGTACATCTCTATGGCTCCATCAGCCCAAATATGGGTTAATGAAAGGGGGAGTGTATTGTGATTGATAGCAGGCAGCTCCCAGTCTGATGCTCTTGGGGGAAGCAACTGATTGCAGTGGAGCTTTAAAGCGCGAAACCTCACTGCAAACCAACCAGTGAAACACAGAGGCCGTTTCTTCAAAAAGAAGGCACAATGGCAACATGAACTGGAAGATTTTGTAGGAAACTATCTTTAGTCAAAGTAGCCAACTAACCGTCAAGCGTGAGTAAAGACTTACGACCAAAAAGCAAAACGATAAACCACACAGAAAAGCCCAGAGATATGGCAGCCACCTCTTTGCGGATGTAGGACGTGCTGGTGTTCTTGCAAACCAGGCTCTCTTCATTGCAGCACCCACCGCATCGATACACGGAAACACACGGAGGCTTGAAGAATGTATTAGTGCTACGTCCAAGCTCCTTAGCAACGTCGACGCAGGATTCCCTGGGGACACACTGAGTCCTCTGCCATTCGTCATCGATAGCTACATGGGAAACAGACAGTCAGTTCAATTGTCCATGTTGACAGGTAAAAGAGAAAGGCAGAAACATGGCTTGGAAAGAAATGATCTCACATTTGAGCGTGTCGGCATCGTAGTATGGAGAAGCGAACCTGGTTGACCGCGATCGTGTGTCAAAGCCGGCCAGGTATTTTAATTTTTGGTGGCATTTCCACCGCTTCCAATCCGAGGAATTAATAATTGACAGCAATTCCCTCACGTTGGAAACAGCTCGGATCTGTTGCTCTAAACTTGCCCTCTTCTGCTTCTGAAAAGGCAAAAATAAGACAGTCATGGTCAATGGATATTTTTCAGGGTGGAGGAAGGTTTGTACTGGAGTGTCGCCAGCCTCGGTGTTGGAATTCTTGCTTTTCCCGTTAGATATTAATGATCGCGGCCCTTGGTGTGCAGAGAACAATTTCGAAGTTTGCAGATGACATTAAGCTTGGAATTGCACACTGTGAGGAGGACAGTGTGGAACTCCAAAAGGATACTGACAAGTTGATGATGTGGGTGGATACGTGACACAAGAGGTTCTCTGCAGAGAGAATATGAGGTGATGCGTTTCGGTTGGAAGAACGTTGAAATCAGAGGGACCTGGGTAGACACGTGCACTGAGCATTGAAGCTGCAGGACAAATTCAGGGAGCAGGTCATAGAATCCGCCTACAGTGTTGAGGCAGGCCATTTGAGTCTACACCGATCCTTCAAAGAGCATCCCACCAAGACCCAAGCTCCTACTCTACAACCCTGCATTTCCTTTGGCTAATCCACCTAGCCTGCACACCTTTGGACTGTGGAAGGAAACCGGAGCACCCGGAGGAAACCCACGCAGACACGGGGAGGATGTGCCAACTCCCACACAGACAGTTGCATGAGGGTGGAATCAAACCCGGGTCCCTGGCGCTGTGAGGCAGCAGTGCTAACCACTGAGCCACTGTTATTAATAAGGGCATGAAGTACAAGAGCTGTACAAAATCAAAATCTAAGTTTTATACTGTTCTGTAGCTAACAGGCATCTTGCCCAAAGGGACTTGTAAGGATGTAGCGAAAATGAGACTGTTGCTGCCGTTGTTCAGGATTATGTTGGCTTTAGATCACATATGGGCTTTCACCTCCACTGCAGTAGCAGGGTCTTTCTTTCCCGGGAACACTGGCCATTTGGGAAGGCTGGTGTATTATTTTCCCTCACCGCTGTGAGCCGGAAGAATCCCACCCTCTGGAATTAAGGGAATTTGTTGTTGTAGTTCTTCTCTTTGACAGCAGAGGGCACCCACTGACTGAAGTTTCCAGACTTCCCACACGCACACATTCCAAATCTTGCTGGACCCACAGAGATTGCATTAATTTAACACCAAGAGCCTCACAACACAGCGTTTTCTTTTGCATTATTTACTCAGGCACACGTTTGTGTGATCTGGAAGCGCAGTTTGTCACTCAGAAGCAGATTCACTTTCTCATTTTATCAAGGTGGGGGGGTGCTCAGTTTATTCTTTATGGAGCTGGAGGAATACAGCAGGCCAGGCAGCATCAGAGGAGCAGGAAAGCTGACGTTTCGGGTCTAGACCCTTCGTCAGAAATGGGGGAGGTGGGGGAATGGAACTGGGAAATAAATAGAGAGGGAGGGGTGGGGCTGGGGAAGGTAGGTGGGGTGGTGATAGGTGAGTGCAGGTAGGCAGTGGTGGGGATTGGTCGGTGAGGTGGGAGAGAAGATGGACAGGTTGTGTCAGGTCAAGGTGGGGATGAGAGGGAGGGGTGGTCATGGGATGAGGCCAGAGCCGCAAACTAGAGGAGCAACAACTCATATTCCGCCTCCCCACCCACTCCCTCTGCCATTTCTGAAGAAGGGTCACGACCTGAAACATGCTCCCCTGATGCTGCCTGGCCTGCTGTGTTCCTCCAGCTCTGCACTGCGTTATCTCTGACTCCAGCATCTGCAGTTCTTGCGATCTGTCAGTTTATTCCTTGCCATTTGCTGGTGTCCATTCCATATTCCAACCGGACCATGTTTACTGCAGCATGAGACCACAATGTGCATTTTTCTGGGCAGCTCAAGGACTTGAGGTCAAATGCACAAGAGAAAAATGAAAAAGTTAAATCAGATTTTCCCATGAAATATCCAGGGGTTGCACTGAGGTGACACAGGAATCAAAATCCCCTCCTCTTCAAAAGAGGTGAAGAAATCTTCACTCTGTTATTTGCGAAGGATGTTTGTGATGGAACCTGACATGTGGAGTTACACCTCCAGCATTTGTAGACCCATCATTTAGACCATTTTAACAAGCCTCTTGCAAGTAATCACAATTCCAAACAAAGATGCAAACTCTCATAGGCTTTTACAAGTCCCAACTACTCTTTCATTGGAATGTTTAAATGTGCCAAATGTTGCAGCATCAACAAAGCAGATTCATCGGACAAACATCAATGTTTGCATGGAGGCTTCGAGACATATTAAAAAATCCCTTAAACAGCTCCTTCCAAACACATGACCACTTCCATCTCGAAGGACAAGGGCAGCAGATACATGGGAACACCACCCCCTGCAAGTTTCCCTCCAAGCCACTCACCATCCTGACTTGGAAATATATCGCCGTTCCTTCACTATCGCTGGATCAAAATCCAGGAACCGCTTCTCTAACAGTATTGTAGATGTCTCTACACCCCTGCCAAGGACTGCAGTGGTTCAAGAAGGCAGCTCAACACCACCTTCTCCAGGGCAATTGGGGATGGGCAATAAATGCTGGTTTGATAGTGGCAGCCACATTCTATGAATAACTTAAAAAAAAACAATAAAGTTGCACATCTTGTCGCAGAAGTCAATATTAGTTTAGATGACCAGAAACATCCTCAAAGAGATCAACTTTCTTACAGGTTGAAAATGAGATAGAGAGTCAGCGAGGTACAAAGATGGAATACAGAGCTTAGAGCCTTAGCAGCTAATACCCATAGAGTCATACAGCATAGAAACAGACCTTTCAATTATTGTAGGGAGGCAATAGCCTAGTGGTGTTATTGGTGGACTGTTAATTCAGAAACCCAGATAATGTTCTGGTGACCCGGGTCCAAATCCCACTATGGCAGATGATGGAGTTCTTTTTGGATTAAGTTACTAATGATGACCATGAATCAATTGTCAGGGGGATAAAACATCTGGTTGACTAACGCCCTTTGGGGAAGGAAACTGCCATCCTTACCTGGTCTGGCCCAAATGTGACTCCAGACCCACAGCAATGTGGTTGACTCTTAACTGCTGGGCAATTAGGGATGGGCAATAAATGCTGCCTAGCCAGTGACGCCCTCATCCCGTGAATGAATAAAGAAAATTCAACTCATCTATGCTGACCAGGTATCCTAAACCGAACTAGTCCCATTTGCCTGTGTTTGGCCCATGTCCCTCTAAACTCTTCCTAATCATGTACCTGTCCAAATATCTTTTAAGTGTTGTAATTGTACCTGTATCATGGACTTCCTCTAGCAGCTTGTTCCATGTATGCACCACCCTATTTAAACTCTATTTAAGTACTTTTTTTTCATTCTTTTGTACCTCAAAATGGCACTGGATTATGGTGACAGACCACTTTTCACTGCATCTCCCCAGATATAAGTGAAAATAAATCATTCATTCACCCTCTGTGTGAAAACGTTTCCCCTCCGACCTGTTTTAAATCTTTCCCCTCTCACCTTAAAGCTACGCCCTCTAGTTTTGGACTCTCCTCTCCTCAGGAAAAGACCTTTGCTATTGACCTTATCTATGCCCTTCATGATTTTATAAATCTCCTTAAAGTTCCTCCCTCAGCCTCCGATGCTCCAGGGGAGAAAAGTCCCAGCCTATTTAGCCTCTCCCTATAGCTCAAACCCTCCAATCCTGTAACATCCTTGTAAGTCTTTTCTGTGTCCTTTCCAGTTTAACAACATCCTTCCTATAGCAGGAAGACTGCAATTGTACACAGCATTCCAAAAGTGTCCTGTACAACTGCAACATGATGTCCCAACTCCTATAGTCAACGCTGATTAAATTCGGGGATAAGCAAGAGTTAGAGAAGTGGAAATATCTCAGAGGGCTGTGGGACTGGACGGGATTTCAGAGACTGGGAGGAGGCAGGGCCATGGAGAAGGGATTTTAAATTTGAATTTTAAAACCAAGATGATTCTCAACTGGGAGCCGAGGTGGACCAGCAAGCATGGTGGACCTGCTACAGGTTGGAGAACTGGCCAGCAAGGTTTGGAAAACAGGAGTTATGTCTAGAGGTAACAAAGGCAGTGAACAAGTGATACAGCAACAGCATATCCAAAATACTGCAAGTCACTGCGGCCCAGGAGATTTTGGGATGTGAACAGTGTTAAGTTGAATTGGTTGAGTTCAAAGGAGGAGTTTAGGATGCAGGTTCCAGGATGTGGGAACTGATAACAGCTGCAGACTGGAGCAGGGATGGGTCGGGAATTCACGCCCACACACACAAGGCTGTGCGTTGGATGTTGGAATAGATTGGATTGAGGGACCGATCTGACTAAGAAGGATTGGCAGAGGACAAAATGCACTGAGAAACAGCAAATGACAAAACTTTCATTTCTATAGCGCCTCGCACCACACTTTACAGCCAGTGGGCTACCTCTGAAGTTTAGGTCACCGTTGTAAATTACAGAAATACAGCAGCCATTTTGCAAACAGAGAGCTCGTAACCACAACAATGACCAAGTAACCTGTAGTGTTGGTTCAGGGATAAGTATCAGGACAGTAAGAGCACTCTCCTGCCATTCTTCAAACAGTGCTGTGCCCACCCAAGATGTCCCACCTGAGGGACGGCAGCTCTGTCAGATTGGCACTCCCTTGGTAGGCACTCCATACAGTAACCTGGCAGCCTGGGATCCGACAGCACGGTCTGAGAATTAGGGCCAGGCCATTCAGGAGAGATGTTAGGAAGCACTTCTACACACAAAGGGTGGTAAACGTTTGGAACTCTCTTCCACAAATGGCAGTGGATGCTGGATCAGTTGTTAATTTTAAATCCGAGATAGATAAGATTTTGTGAAGCAAGAGGTATTAAGGGAAATGGGCCAGAGGGAGGAATATGGAGCTATAGGGCACTGATCAGCCATGATCTCATTGAATGGCGGAACAGGGTTGAGGGGCTGAATGGCCTACTTCTGTTCCTACATTCCAAGGATCAGGGTTTGATTCATCACTTCCTTGTCTAAGAGATGAAACTGCTGCCTTCTGATTGGTAGCAAATTAGCAGCTCAGTGGTTAGCACTGCTGCCTCACAGCACCAGGGACCTGGGTTTGATTCCAGCTTTGGGTGACTGTGTGGAGTTTGCATATTCTCCCTGTGTCTGCGTGGGTTTCCTCCGGGTGCTCTGGTTTCCTCCCACAGTCCAAAGATGTGCAGGCTAGGTGGATTGGCCATGCTAAATTGCCCATAGTGTGCAGGCATGTGTAGATTAGGTGCATTGGCTATGGGAAATGCAGGGATAGGGTAGTGGGATGGGTCTGGGTGGGATGCTCTTCAGAAGGTCTGTGTGGACTTGTTGGGCCGAATGGCCTGTCCCCACATTGTGGGGAATTCTATCAACCAACAGTGGACCTTTTGCCCAGATCCAGCAGACTCTGAATCAGAAAGTCATGAGGAGCATGGAGAAGATGAACAGCCAAGGTCTTTTCCCTCGAGTGGGGGAGTCCAAAACTGGAGGGAATAAGTTTATGGTGAGAGGGGAAAGATTTGAAAATGCCTCGAGGGGCTACTTTATCATGCAGAGGATGGTGCGTGTATGGAATGAGCCTCCAGAGGAAGTGATGGAGGCTGGTACAATTACAACATTTAAAAGCCATCTGGATGGGTATATGAATAGGAAGGGTTTAGCGGGATATGGGCCAAATGCTGGCAAATGGGACTAGGTCAGACTGGGATATCTGGTTGGTGAAGATGAGTTGGACCAAAGGGTCTGTTTCCCTGTTGAATGATTCTAAAAGGACTCTCTAATTTGCATTTCTTGCATGCAATCCTCAGTTGTTTTGTATTATTTTAGAGAAGTTTGCTTTTAGCTCACTGTTTTGAAGTGAGGGATTGACATGGCTAGAGGGGGATGGTGATGTAGTGATACTGTGACTGACCAGTAATCATGAGGTCTGGCCTAATGTAGTTAAGTGAGGAGACCAAAACTGAGCACAATACTCCAGGTGTGGTAGCACCAATGATCCACAAGACCAGACTAATGCTCTGACCTTGCCGTGGTAGATTTTAACATCCACTTTGAGTGTGAGAAACCTGGGTCAGAAACAACTGTGCTCAACTTAAATAAGGATAATTGCAAAGGATTGTAGTCAGGTTTGGCTGGATTGGACTGGGGAAGGAATCTACCTACAAAAAATGGTTGAGAGACAATGGCTGACATTTAAGAGGCTCACAGTTAAGATATATTCCAATGAAAAAGAAGAATTCTGGGATGGGGATAAACCAACAATGGAAGTTAAGGATAGCATCAAATTGGAGGAAAACCACAAAAAGATTAATGGTAAATCAGATAGTGAGGAAAGTTTTTAAAACCAACCAAGTAACACCAAAAAAAAACATAAAAAGGGTTAAAATAAACTTTAAGGGTAAAGTAGCAAGTCAATCAAAATGGACTGTAAGAGCTTCTTTAAATACATAAAAGGGAAGAGATAAGCAATAGTGAATATAGGCCTCTTAGCAACGGAGGTTGGGGAAATAATAATGGGGAACCAGGAAATGGCAGAGAGGAGTTGAATAAATACTTTGCATCAGTCTTCATGGTAGAAGAGATGGATAGCGTTCCAAAATTACAAAATAATCGAGGGATAAAAGGAAGAGAAGGTGTAAATACAATAACCATCACTAGAGAAAAAGTACTGGTGAAACTAATGGAACTAAAGAGCAAATAAGTATGGGGTGATTCCGAGGATATTAAAGGAAGTAACTACAGAGATAGTGGATGCACTGGTAGTAATCTTCAGGGAATCCTTAGAGTTGGGAAAAGTCACAGAGGATTAGGAAACTGCCCTTATTTAAAAGGGAGGCAGATTGAAAAAAAACAAGTAACAAAGGGCCAAGTCGTATAACATCTGCCATTGGGAAAATGTTAGAATCTATCATGAAGGATGTAAGGGCAGAGCATTTAGGAATATACATGATCAAGCAGTGTCAGCATTGGCTTCACAAAGGGGGAATGCCTGTTTTGCTGAATCTATACAAGGCATAATTAGACCATAGCTGAAATACTGCGAACAGTTTTATCCCCCTGATCTAGGGGGGAAGATATGTTGACATTGGAGGCAGACCAGAAAAGAATCGCTAAATTCATCCATGGGGAGGCGATGGCCTAGTGGTATTATCACTAGACTGTTAATCCAGAGACTGAGATAACGTTCTGGGGACCTGGGTTTGAATCCTGCTATGGCAGATGGTGGCATTTGAAATCAATAAAAATCTAGATTTAAGAGTTTAATGATGACCATGTGTCCATTACCAATTGTTGTGGGGGAAAAACCCATCTGGTTCACTAATGTTCCTTAGGGAAGGAAACTGCTGGCCTACATGTGACTTCAGACCCACAGCAATGTGCTTGACTCTGAACTGCCCTCTGGGAAATTAGGGATGGGCAATAAATGCTGCCTGGCCAGTGATGCCCTCATCCTGTGAATAAAGAAATCCTAGGTTTGAAAGGACTGCCTGCCTTTTGAAGAGAGGTTGAACAGGTCGAGCCTGTACACATTAGAGTTTAGGAGAATGAGAAAGTGGTCTTATTGAAACATATAACATTCTTAGGGAGCTTAGGTAGGTGTGGAGAGGTTGTTTCAACTTGTGGGAGATCCTAGGACCACAGGGCACAATCTCGGGATAAGGATTCGTCTATTTAAGACAGAGAGGAGGAGGAATTTCTTCTCTCAAATGTTTTATAAACGTGTGAAATTCTTTTTGTGCAGAGGGCTGTTGAAGCATATTTTTTTTAATCAGGAAGGGATCAAAGGTTTATGGGGAAAAAGCAGGAAAGCGGAGTTGAGGATTATCAGATCAGCTGTGATCCCATTGAGTGGTACTGAATGTGAGTTCTGCTCTTATGCCATAGAGTCACAGAGATGTACAGCATGGAACAGACCCTTCGATCCAACTCATCCATGCCGACCAGATATTCTAAATTAATCCAGTCCCACTTGCCAGGGTTTGGCCCATATCCCTGTAAACCCTGAGATAGCAAGAACTGCAGATGCTTGAGTCAGAGATAACACAGTGTGGAGCTGGAAATGAAAAAGGGCCTGACCTGATACGAAGGGTCTAGGCCCGAAACGTCAGCCTTTCTGCTCCTATGATGCTGCTTGGCCTGCTGTGTTCATCCAGCCCTGCACCTTGTTGTCTGTGATATAAACCCGTCAGGTTCACTAATATCCTTTAGTGAAGGAAATCTGCTGTTCTTACCTGGTCTGGCCTACATGTGACTCCAGCCCACAGCAATGTTCTGACTCTTAACTGTCCCCAAAATGACCAAAGGCACTCCATTCAAGGGCAGTTATGGGGTGGGTAATAAACACTGGCCTTGTTAGTGACACCCACATCCTATAAAAATATAAAACCATTAAAATAAGAATACCTCATTTTATAATGGCACTGGGTAACAGCACTGGTCTGGGCTTGATGGACTGAATGGCCTCCTCCTGTGACTTTAAAAAAACACTTCTGTGAACTCAGCTACAACTCCACAACATGCAAAACACACTGAGTTCCCAGAGGAGTCAAGCAGCAAGCCATATAAATCTGCTGCACTTCCTTGTATATTCAGACCGGAATGCATGCGATACGGGGCATGAAGTGTGAGACATTTTCAATCAGGGTCGTTGACAAATATTTGTTCAGAATGAGATTGGCAACAGGAATTGATGTAGCGACAGAAGTTCACCTACCAGTCTGGAGTCACGTTCATCGTAAACACCCTGCAAAAGATGGAGAAGTGACAAAACGATGACATGTAGACAGGTACTGGATGGCAGCTTCATTCTGGCACCTTTGATCTAAAGAGTTAATTGTCACTGCCGTAATCTCTATTTCATCAGACTGGGAGACCTTAACAGCGACGGATACAAACAGCTCAGCATTACATTGCTTCACAAGTATTCGAGTTCTTCGCCCTTCGAGTCTAGTTACTGAAATTGTCTCACAATTTGCAAGTAAAGCATTGTGATCTGCAGCAGATTCGTTACATATTCTAGGTGCAAGTTGTGTCACGGATACATGGAAAAGAAAGGTTGGATTCAAACGACAAAGCTGAGATTGCTATCCAGAGCCAGGTTCCAGGAAAAGGATCCATAGAACATTGTGCATTCCAGCATTAATCATGTGAAATCCTCAGGTTCAGCTCAGACACCGAAAACAAAGTAAGAAAGAAGTTACTGCTTCACTGGCGCTAAAATCAACTTTCTCCTGTGTAATCTTCAGCAAAGAAGTGGCGGAAGTTTCCAACTACGTTCACCATCCTTCACTTTGAAAGCATGGAATGGGAGTTCATATTCTAAAAGAGCCCGGAGCTGTCGATCGCACAGAGCTACATACACACTTCGTCTCAAATATTGTGACGCATCAGACCTCCTCAGAAACTGCAGAAGCATATGGTTCAAATGGGATCCAGACATCAGTCCGAGCCCGCACTGCTGGCTGCCCGACAACACTCACAGCATGACTAAACACCAAAGTCACACACCTCATCCCCACTGACCCACACATTACCCACTGACCCACACATTACCCACAAACTCACACCCCATACCCACTGACCCACACATTACCCACTGACCCACACATTACCCACTGACCCACTGACCCACACATTACCCACAAACTCACACCCCATACCCACT